AGCGTCGGCCTGCGGACTGAAAGGTCCCAGGTTCGATTCTGGTCAAGGGCATGCACCTGGGTTGCAGGCATATCCCCAGTAGGAGATGTGCAGGAGGCAGCTGATCGATGTTTCTCTCTCATCGATGTTTCTAACTCTCTATCTCTCTCCCTTCCTCTCTGTAAAAAATCAATAAAATATATTTAAAACAAAACAAAACAAAACATAAGATCTACAGAAGTAGCACTGTCTGCCTATTTTTTAAAGATCTTTCACACAACAGGCACTCAACTCTCACTGTTTTGATTTTCAGAGGAAAGCACACCTTACTTGTTAGAAATGCAGGCATGGAGAAGCTTCCTGGAGTGGGAAAAGTGTTGTCTATGTATTGGAAAACCTGGTCCACTTACTACTGTGTGATTTGGGGCAAGCCATTCCATTTCTCCCTACCTGCAAGGTCAGAGAGCTGAACTGGATCCTTAGGATCCTTCTGGCAGCACAGCTCTGACTCTGGTCCTGTTCTGTTACATATAACAAATGGGTATTAAGGACAGATGAGTCCATGGGGAAGGATGTGAGGCTGCAGAGGCATTGGTTCATTAGAAACATCAAGACAGGCAGACTCTCTTTTTATGTGCACCATCTAAAATCCTTTATGAGCATCAACTGTGGTGACTCTTTCTTTGCTGTTATTGGTTCAACAAAGCAGGTCACTGGCCTCAACCACATCCCATACTCACTGTCCTGGGGTGCAGACACCATAAGAGAAAGCCTGCCAGCTTGCAAGTCCATGAAATGTTCGCTTTATTTAAAATGTGCAACTGCGCCCTAGTCGGTTTGGCTCAATGGATAGAGCATCGGCCTGCGGACTAAAGAGGCCTGGGTTCAATTCAGTTCAAGAGCACGTATCTTGTTTACAGGTTCAATCCCTGTCAGGGCACTTGCAGGAGGCAACCAATTGATGCGTCTCTCTCGCACCAATCTTTTTCTGTTTCTCATCCTCCCTTCCACACTTTCTAAAAAAAAATAAAATAAAAAAATTAAAAAAAATGTGCAATTGTGGGGATCCTGAGGATTCTGCTATGACTTTTTTTTTTTATCATCACAAACGCTAGGTCACTCTATGTAGGAACCTTTTTAAAAAAGTGACTAGAAAAACATTCCAATAGTGATTCTATCATATTAGCATGACCCTAATTTATTCAGACCAAAGTCTTTCAGTCCCATTAGTAAGAGCCAATTTGTTCCAGCATTGCTATGGAAGGGAACTTTCAGTTTGAGGAATGAAGAGAGAGAAACATGGTCAGGTAGGGTGGCCAGCAAGACTGTAATTATGCTTGAAAAGGCAGTCTTCTCAAGAAGGGTCCAGAGGGATGGAGAGGACCAGCAGCAGAGAAGGAAGGATGAGCCTGTTGGCTCTATGGGCTCTCCAGTGGCCCAGCAGGGCTACACTGGGGTGGTCTTCTGGGTTTTTACTTCCTGTGGACTTTATAATTCTGCATTTTGCAGGGGGCATGGTTTAGCCCAGCCGTGGGCAAACTACGGCCCGTGGGCCGGATCCGGCCCGTTTGAAATGAATAAAACTAAAAAAAAAAAAAAAGACTGTACCCTTTTATGTAATGATGTTTACTTTGAATTTGTATTAGTTCACACAAACACTCCATCCATGCTTTTGTTCCGGCCCTCCGGTCCAGTTTAAGAACCCATTGTGGCCCTCGAGTCAAAAAGTTTGCCCACCCCTGGTTTAGCCTGTGGGGTGGAATACTCTTGTGTAGGATTAACAGTCTGTATCCATATACATAAAAGCCTAAGCGACTGCCCGACCATTCAACGGGTACCTATGATGCGCAATGACCACCGGGGGCAGAAGCTCAACACAGGAGCTGCCGAGCTGCGGTGACTTGGCAACTGTGGTTCTCGGGTGACGCACCCGGAGTCAGAGAGGAGGGAGCCCGATTCTGGGGTGCATCATCCGAGAACCGCCCTCTCTCAATCTGGGACCCCTCGGGGAGCTGGTTCTGGCCCGATTCCCGCAGGCCAGGCTGAGGGACCCCACCAGTGCACCAATCTGTGCACCAGGACTCTAGTCAGAATATATTGTTGATGGCAGTGGCCATGGGCCCAATTTCAATTTTTAAAATATGTTAAGAATGGAAAGATATAACTCAAAATGTTGGCAGTCAGTTACTTTCTCTGATTATGAGTTTTTCCATTATTTTTCTTTTTGTGTTTTGAATTTTCAACAAAGAACTTGTATTAGTCTTATATAGTCAGGGAAAATTCTTATATTAACACCATTGTTTATTTTAGGTAATAAAAGAATATATAACTTGTTATAAAAATATTTTTATAAAAGTGTGATGTTACAAATTAATAAAATATATCAATTCAATTTCTAGAAAATAAACCTTAAAGATATGAACTGTCTCAAAAGATAGAGAGGTTTTCCTATACAAGTACTCACTCTACTGGTGACTTAGAGAATATACTTACTCTGACATTTCTGAAATAATTGAATTATTTTCCACAAGCACTAGAGGGCAGGATTTTTATTATGAAACTCAATTTCACCAATCATCACTACATTACATGCTTTTTTTCTTGTGTATGGTGTCCGTTAATATGTGATAAACTATCACTATGTTTATTACATGCTGTTTTTGGACTGTGCTTCTAGTCACATGATAAACTTAACTTAGAGGTTGACTCTCATGAGATATTTAATAGCTTTTTTATCATATAAAATTAATTTATCCCTACTTATATACTGAAAGGAATTAAAACATATTATATACAATGTATACATATGTAAAAACTGTATTTTTAGGGCTATATTAATAAATATGTAATAAGTTTCTGATCTGACACTATCTCATATTTAAATTGAATGACTAATAAGCACATTAAAAATTGAGGTCCATCACTACTGCTTCTAGTTTTTAAGAAATGCAAAGATAATTAATTTTTAAGAAATTAGTTCAATGCCCTCAAAATCCCAGATCTGTAAGAGAACACTAAAATGCTTTTCTCAAACTCCAAAAGCTGCTAACATCTATGAGGCTTATGAATTCTGGTGGTGATGGAAGAGAAGCTGAGAGGGAAAATGACATTCCAGGAAGTGAGAGCAGCAAGAGAAAAGTCATGGCATATCAAAAGTAAGTTAAGTATTTGGGGTTGTCAAGGTAATCTGATATGTGACTATAGTATAAGGAGTGTTGGAGAAATAGCTGAAGTTGGAAAAGCAAAGAAGGGTCAATTGGGGAAGGACTGTTGTGCTATTCTTAGGATTTGGACTTTATTACCTCTACATAAGTAGATGGATACTGCTATCTTTAAGACAGACTTGGGATTTTAATAAGTCTAAGTGCAAAGTGCTTTCTGAAATCTACACTGCAAGATCTACTAAACAGCTGGAAATGCAGGGCTAAAATTCAGGGGAGAAGTGAAATATATAAGTAAAAGAAAAAAATGAGATTTAAATTTTGTGTGACTATGAAGTCTCATGATGTTATCTATATTAGACACATAACCCTTGTTAAAATAACTGATGTCAACGGGCAGCAACATAACATACATTTGAATTGAACACTGTATCACTTAGCACAATAAACTTTCAAACTGCATAGTACCCACGGTAAATTATGGAATGGAATTGCACTGTTAGCTATATCTTAGTCAATTTAGATGATTAATTGATCATTATCTACCTCAAACACAAAATATTTATTGGCAAATGTATAATGTATATTTCATATATTACAGGTGATTTATTAAGATGCTGTATATGCACACATACATTCTTTTAAAATGAAGCCAAAATTTTTATATATTTTTAAGACATAAAAATGAGTTTACTATGAGTAAAAATACTCCATTTTACTAATGAAGGCCAGTAGAACAATGATTATTAACAATTATCGTTAGTATTAAATTTGAGCCCCTCATATAAATTTTCTTATTTGATCTCTATAAGCTTTCCATTAGGTGGGCTAGAGCTGGCAGTAACAGCAACAGCAACAATTATAATGCTCTCATAACAGTATCTTTAACATAATTTATTTTCTATTCTTCATCCTTCACCCTTCCCCTACCCCAACACCGCAATTTGTAGGATAAAGTAGAGATCTTAGATGCACTTACTTGGAAATTTATACTTAAAACCTGAGCTTTTCTGGTATAAATAAAGTAGATTAGAAAACACTGCCTACTGAATTTTCTGAAATTCTTTAAAACACAAAATAGAGACCATTATGAAATGGATCTAATCTGGTCTAGACATATATATTGAATGTCATGCTCTGGCTGGTGTCTTCAGTGGTTAGAGCATTGGCCCAAACACCAAAGGGTCACAGGTTCAATTCCCACATACCTGGGTTGAGGGTTCGCTCCCTGCCCTGCCTCCTGCCGGCCCTCTCCCCATAGGAGTGGGTGCAGGAGGCAACCAGTCAATGTGTCTCTCACATTGATGGATGTCTGTCTCTCTTTCTCCCTCTCCCTCCTCCCTTCCACTCTCTCTGAAAAGCAATGGAAAAAACATACTCTGGTGAGGATTAGCAACAAAAAACAAAAAATTAAATTGGGTGCCTTAAATGCTTGCTAATTGTTACACAAGTTTAAATATGAGGAAAAGTCCAATCCAATTAAGTTGTTATGTCTGACCATTTATACCTAAATTTAATAACATTGCTAATATTAATTTAGCCTTCATTCATGAAGTGTTTTAAATAAAATGCCATTCTTGAAAGACAAATAGCTTTCTAAGTTTCTTCCTTGTTCATTTCTTGAACTTCATTTTTTTAAAAAACCATTGCATTGCCTATATATGGAGTTAAACACTCCTCTCCATTTATCTAAAGGCTGAGCCAAGCTAAAACCTTTGTGTCATTGTATTTTATAGGTTAAAGACTGGGACCTGAACACATTTCCTCCCCAAAAAGCAGCCTCTTCCTTTTATTCGCTTTAGTATTTTCATGAGAGTTGCAATGGGTTAAAAAGAAACTAGAAGAAATACATATACTTACTTGAACCTGGCAGGTGAAAGAGGAGTAGGAGGAAACATTCCTGGCTCAAAAGAGTCAAAGTAAGTCACTGTCCAAGAAAAGCTGCAGCAGGAGAACCCAGCAGTTAGGGATATTATAAGTAGAGTCCAGAATCCTTAATGGGAAGAGAGAAGGGGAAAGCTTGAATTATTAACACCCAAACAATTAAAATTAAACCAGTACCCTCACATTCAGATAATACGCATTTCTGATCTCTTGATTTATATATGTAAGTGATATAAGAGATTTCAGTTTAGTAAAAGTTAACCCATGTAGAAGTATAAAACTAGAAGTCATATCATTTAATATTTAATTCAATTATAATTTAATATTTGGAAAAGAGTACAAATTCAACTGAAGAGTATAACTTATCTTCAGTTTTATAAAATTCAACTATAGAAAAAAATGGTTAAAACACTTCACTGTTAACATTTTTTCATTTAACTTTGTAAATCACAACTTGCTGTCTTTTATTACTTTAGCACTAAGTGATTTCTTTCCATACCAATGCACCTTTGACATATGAATCAATTTTTGAGTGTCTACTCTTTACAGTTTTCCTATGAACACCATAAATTTAATCTGATTCTTTTACCTTGCTCAGTATATGGACATAAGTTAACTCCCAATTTATAAATGCATTGGGATCCTAAATTTTATTTTCAGTTAGATTGGACCTACATTTTCTCAAATCAAGTAGAAACCATGGCGACTATACTGGGGGAATGAAAGGGCAAAGGGAAGAGAATTAGAAGAGAAGAGGGAATAAACACAGGGAAAACAGAATGAATTGATTTGAAGGTTTTTAGGTTAGTTCACGTTGCCTCCCTCAGAGAGTTTACAAAGCCACAACTACTGATAAGTGTGTGTTCCAGGCCTCAGCAGTACAACGGAGAAGGAAAGGTTGAGAAGATTGCAATAGAGAATTACCAAATTTCCTGGCTACACAAAATTGCACAACCAAAGATGGCTTTATTTTTTAGCAAGAAGCAGGTAAGAAATATGTACTATGGACTGCTTGTAAACCATATGAAGCCCAGTAACAGTGGTAAAACTGCTAAAAGAAAAACTCAGGGCAATAAAGCATCAGGAGAAACTGTGGCAAAGTACTTTTAAAAGATTAGTTTTTCTCTTAGAGTTAGCTCCCTTTCCCTTACCCCCTTTTAAAGATAACAGACTTTGTGTTCACTGCCCCAGGAGGAGGATGTGGCAAAAAGGGAGAACTAGCCCAAGTGTCTCTTTGGTTGTGTTGCAGTTAAGGGAACTAGGAGGGTAAGTATAAGCAGTAAACACAAAATGTCTCCAAAAGTAAGTTGACTGAGGTATATTTGTATAGAACAGGGAGAGAGTAGGGCTTTATCTATAGGTGATAGATTCCCACATTTGAAGAACGTGGGTTATGTGTGGTGTTTGCACTTGTGGGTGTATAACAGGGGCTTCCTAGTAGTTATCAAGAAAAGGTCACACAACGTCAGAAAGGGATTATAGCTATGGTACCTCGACAGATGGGCCCATAGCTAAACTTGCAGGTGCCTCTGCCCTGAGTGTGTCACAAAAACGTCACTTGGCTGGAAGATGCTACATCTGAAAGGCCATCCTGACTGGAATGCAAGATGTTTCAGCAGTAACTCATTTGGGCAAATGTTTTGAGGACTACAAAGTGCTCCCATTCCAGTATCCTGGAACAGTGTCAGACAGAACCATAACTTAACCTAGGACTGGCTAAACAGAACTTCTACAGTAAAGACTTGAGGTACAACCTTCCTGCCAACCAGTACGACAGGAGATAGAAGTAGAAATTATAAGATTACTTAGTATATAACTACAACTAAAGGGTGACTACACTGCCAGATAGCTGTTTTGATATTGTTATATTATTTAGATGAATATCCACCTCTAAAGGGGAGAAAAAAAATGACATGGTTTACTCTAAGTTTTGCATCTTATAATACATAAAAGTCTGTTGAACGAAGATGGTAATTAAGAAAAATCAAGTATCTGTTTAGGGACTGCTATTGAATGACGGGGAATTCTAATATCTAAAAAAGGAGGAAAGACAAAATAACATTAAAACAAAATGTGAGGCTCTCTAAAGCCCATCAAGCTGTTTCACTCAGGCGCTTCAATAGAATAACCATCAAATTTAATATAAGAATAATCTTGAGAACCCAACAAACTGCAGATTTCAACTCCTCGCACCCATAAGGGACATACTCAAGAAGCAGAATCAGGTTTGAAGGAAGCTGGAACCAGACCTGGCTAGGCCGGCAACATGGAACCGCTGTACAAGCAAATGCACAAACAGGTCCACCAGATCCAGTCTCACATGGGACGCCAGGAGACGGCAGGCAAGCAGTCTGTGCACTTAGTAGAAAACGAAATCCAAGCAAGCATACCAGATATTCAGCCAGCAAGAATGCCTGGAGATTTTGTCCAGCAGCAGGAGAGATGGCGAGAGGAGCTTCTGTCTCACACCTTCACCCCCAACGTGGGATGTGCCGGCCCCTGTGAGGCTGCGCCGGCCCCTGTGTGGCCGAACACAGGGACACGTCGCGGATGGAAATAGCTACATTTTCCATGTGTATGACCCAACAACAAAAAGCGTACACCTATGGATGAGGGCAGTGGGGGGTAAGGGCAGAGGGTGGGGTGGGAACTGGGTGGAGGGGAGCTATGGGGGGAAAGAGGGGGAACAACTGTAATAATCTGAATAATAAATATTTATTAAAAAAGAAAAGAATAATCTTAAGTTTCCAGACATGACTACTATTTCATGATCTAAGTTGTTGCCCCACTTTGGGCATTTTAATAATTTTATATTCATTTTGAACTAATCAATTGCTGTATCACTAATAAAAGTCAGGTCACAACGAAAAGGCTAAAACAGCACATTGTACTATCCTGGCCTAGAATTGCTGTTTCTGAAAATTACGCAATTCATTTATAAACAAGCAGAAAAACCAGAGGTTGGCAACTCCCAACAACTAAATTTGCAACAAGTCCCTATCTTGAGTCCTGAAGCTAAAAATTTGACAAGTGTTTTGTAAACCCATTTTACCAAGATTTGACATAATTTTAAAAGGTATAAAGGCATCTAAAAATTAAGTTACAGTCTTCCTTCCCCAATTCACTAATTCCACTCCTAAAATCAATCAGCTAAGTCTGCTGTGCATATTTCTAAAAAGTACAGCCATCTAGGTAATGTAGGTAGATATATGGAGCTCGTTATGAATAATTTATATATACATGGATATATATGTATATGTAAATTTGCACACACACACACACACACACACATATTTGCTTATTTTCTACAAGTGGGATTCTCACCAGAAATATTGTCCCATACTTTGGTTTATTTAGTAACAATGTTGGAGAGCTTTCATATCAGTATATAGAGCCACAATTCTGCTGCATATTTTTATTAAGTATCTCACTATTATTTTTTTAAATATATTTTTATTGAGATCATGTTTTCTAGCACTCAGGACATAATAGTGCCATCAGAAATTATCAGACTTTATGGAGTTTCTGCAGGGTCTAAAAAGATTTTGAACTTGATCTTTGGTGTCTGTCAGCCCTTGCCATCTACTAATTAATAGTGAAGTCCCCTCGAGTGACTAAGACCAGATTCCTTGCATCCTGCAGTGTCAAGGGCTTATTTCATTTCAAGCTGCCCATTTTGTTCCTGTTTCATGACTGGAATGTTCCAGGCTCCTGCACATTTACAGAGAAGAAATGATGAAACTCACTTGAAGAAACTAAACTATTTCTTTATTTCTGCAGTTTCTTTATTTCAGCTGGCATCAGAATCATCTGGAAGGACTTGTTAAAATTCATTTTAATGGGCTTCATCTGGTCTAGAGTTTCTGATTGAGTAGGCCCAAGAATTTATGGTTCTAGGTCAGGGGTGGGCAAACTTTTTGACTCGAGGGCCACAATGAGTTCTTAAACTGGACCGGAGGGCCAGAACAAAAGCTTGGATGGAGTGTTTGTGTGAACTAATATAAATTCAAAGTAAATATCATTACATAAAAGGGTACGGTCTTTTTTTTTCAATAGTTTTATTCATTTCAAATGGGCCGGATCCGGCCCGAGGGCAGTAGTTTGCCCACGGCTGTTCTAGATGATGCTAATGATGCCAGTTTATGAGAACCATTGCTCTGGTAGTTCTCAAACCTAACATATCAGCAACAAAATCTTGGAGATTTTCTTTTTTTGGAATTTACAGAATTTCAGACCCTGCCCTTATCTACTGAATCAGTTACTTAATCGACTGATGCTTTAATGCTCAGTATACCATCAGGGTTCATTGGACCCATTTTTTTATTTTTAAATTTACTTGAGAAGTTCTATTTGTAAGGTTTGATATTTTCATTACTTTTATTCCTTTTTAGGGGTCTTCCAAGAGAGAAAATTGAGTTATATTTTTTCTAGAATAAAGCTTATTTGATTTTGAAATTACCATATTGGTCTATTGGAGCCTTTTATAAATCTACTAGAGGCCCGGTGTACAAAAATTTGTGCACTGGCGGGGGGGGGGGGTAATTCCTCAGCCCCACTTGTGCCCTCTCACAGTCTGGGACCCCTCGGGAGATAACGACCTGCTGGCTTAGGCCCACTCCTGAGTGGCAGAGGGCAGGCCCAATCCCTAGGCGCAGGCACCCTGCAGCCCCTGGTTGGGCTCAGAGCAAGGCTGATTGAGGAGTTGGGCCGCCACCCCGTCATGCACAGAGCAGGGCAGATCAGGAGGTTGTGATGCCACCCTCAGTCACGCTCAGGGTAGGGACAATAGGGGCGCCGCCCCGTCACATTCAAGGCAGGGTTGATGGGGAGGTTGCGGTGCCACCCTGTCATGCACAGAGCAGGGCGGATCAGGGGGTTGTGGCGCCACCCCTGTCACATACAGAGCAGGCCCATCAGGGCGGTTGGAGCTCCATACCCCGTCACACACAGAGCAGGGCCGATTAGGGGTTTGGGGAGCTCCCCCCTGTCACGCACAAAGTAGGGTCGATAGGTGGTTGGGGAGCTCCCCCCTATCAGGCACAGAGCAAGGCCGATCAAGGGGTTGGGGCGCCTTCCCCTTTCATGAACAGAGCAGGGCGGATAGGGAGG